AATATCGATCAAATTGCTGTATAATTGCAAATAGACGTTAAATAAATCAATTTCAATTTATCTAATTTTATTGAATAAAATCAATGATATTTAAATGGATAAATAACTGTAAATCTGAAAAGTTGTGAAACATTTTAAATATTTAAATTCCAAGTGTCGTGAATAAGCGATCGATTAAATGGTTATCGATTAAGCTCGTTTTATGCTAAACGTCAACTGTCGTTAGTTTCATGTTTATGGGAACGCCACTACATATACTCTGCTCAAGCTTTTAGACTAATTGTGAGATATTTACGCAAGGAATGTCGAGTGTGCATTCAATTAAACTTATCTCGTTAATTTATACTTTGCTATAAGGAAGTTTGAAAATCATATCGCATTTTTACTACTAAAATTATTTCGTCATGACGTAATATTAAATCCTTATACGAATTTCAATTAAGGAAAAACTTTGAAATTTACTGAAGGTAAAACTGCTGCGTGTATTAAATTTATGTGAAAAATGTTCGGTTAAACGCGAACGAATAATTAAACTGCATGTAATTGAAATTTTTTAATAATTTCTTCACGTCGTATCAATATTATAACAATAATATTTCTATTATTAACCTAATTATACGGTTAACAAGTTCATTTTATAATGTGATTATTACTTTTAAATAAATTATTCCGAGCATTTTGTTTACATTTTTATATCATTATTATGATATAATGAGAATAGAGGAATCCTTATTTATTTATGAATGTTTTACAATATTTTTGATATTTCAATACGTATGCTTTAGCAAAAGTAAAGCAACATTATAATTAAATTCTAGTAAATGTACTTTAAAACAATTATATATGATGCTAATATAGTGCTAATTGATAAATTTTAATATTTTTAGTTTTTTTCTGACATTCCCTTAGAATCCCACTTTTTCATTGTTACTTCATAAAGGTACATTCTCTATGAAGTACTAGCGCAATTCGAAAGGAATTATATCTCTATCATAATAACGTATTACGCATATTGTAAAAATTAAATATAATTGGACTAAATTGAACTAATAAAAGATTATATGTAAACAGATGCAATCCATTTTTCAGTAGAATAAAGCATATATGATCGTACATGATCAGATTCATATCATTATCATTATAATTATAAAAAAGAAATGTTTTCACCGTACTCATTTAATCCTATACATTTATTTTAAAGAGTAGAATACATAGTTTTCATTGGTTGTGAAATTATAGAAGCTTATTCCACACGTTTATAATTGCCTGATTAATTAATATGCGGTTAAACTGACTATCGATATACAAGGGCTGACCCGCAGCAGCCAAGGCAGCATTCCCAAGCCAGTATCTCCGATTACGGTAGCGTAATCATTAGCGATATTGTAATTACCGGCGAAATATCTTTGCGGCCAATAATGCGGAAGCCTCAATTTGTCAGGATTGTCGTTATTGGCATCGTAATTGTTGGTCGAAACAAGCGCGACCGATTTCTGGTTTGCAACCAATGTAGATGTGTTAATAGTTAATACCAATGGCTCAGAATTGGCGGAATTATGTTAAGTTGCTCATAAATATCACGATCAGAATAACGTTACAAATATAGTTCTACGGAGGTGACTAATCTTGATGAATTGCGCGTTTAATTACGTTAACCGGATTTACGTCGGTATCAATACAGATTAATAGATTACGTGAAACTGTAAGGTACATATTCCACTAATATGTGTTAGAACGTTATACAGAAATAAACATACAATTTGATAACGTGAAAAAATAAACGAGCGTGTGTGTATGTGTGCGAAAGCATAGACTTACAATTAAATATAACCGGATATTTTAATTTAACATTTGTCGGATGAGACGAGCAGCATTCACATATCTGATAATTTCACGCATCCAATTTTAAATATCATTTGCTGTTACAAGCGAGAATCCAACATTCTATTAGGAATTATTAATTTTTGCGGACACGCAAAGTGGTAAATAATCTATTTATTGATTTAGATGAACGACCAAATATCAACAAGCCATAAATAATTTGTTCATTAATAACACTTGACAAGAGTTTAAAACAAGCGGTACCAATTTATCCAGTTCGTCATTCACTCTCTGAACATTTATCACTTTCAGAAGTACAGTTATAATTTATAGATTTTCAAACAAATGCAATAGTACAATATATGTATATATGTATAGTGTGTGTGGGTGTGTGTACATTTATTGATAAATGCATGAACAAACTCTCAACAATAATGGTACAATTTTATTATGATTAACAAACTATACATTATTGCTCTTATCATTTCTATCACAGATCAAATTTTTTATTAAATTCTTAATTGTTGTAAATTATATTTTTAATTGTAATATACTTTTTTTAACTGTAACATTGAAAAAAGTTTTGCGTGTTTTGACTGTTTTATTATACTAAGGTTTATTTTAGAGGTCTATGTACATTCAATCTCAACAAATTACGAACACATGGTCGACGAGGCACTCGACTATACTATATTCTAAAGTCAAGGTAGTTCCTGATCAAAGGAATTTACGTTAATCGACTTGCTGTTGCTTGATACAGATTTAGCTACTACATTTGTGGTACTACGTTTTCATTAATTTGAAACAGGTACACCATAGTGTATATACAGAGAGAAATTGGGCCTGTTAATTTAATACAATCATTTCAGAGATTTGTGGGTTCTACAAAGTGTTAAAACATGGCTCCGAATCATACCGTTATTTCTTTTGATGAGAATAATGCATGCTTTTTTCCGTTACAAGTGAAATAATTACATAAATTACAAAGGTACTTGTGTTAACAAATTTCGTTTATTATACTACTTCTGTTGTAACATTGTTTCATTAAAGGTACAGAGTGCTACAAATATTATTTTATTGTGCCAAACTTGATTGCAGCTTTGTGTTGGAAATAATACATGTGAATAACTGCTGTTGAGTTAAAATAATATTATTTGGTAACATTAATGTAGTCACATTATAAATCCAATTAATTAATATACTGTATGATGTCGATATCAAAGGCATGAGTTTATTATTTACATATTTCAATTGTTTTCAGTGACTGAATTGATTTTTGTTTGGTATTTTAATCAATTTTTTTGTGAAAATTTCAAAAGAGATAAATAAAGAGATGAATACAGTCAATTAGTATAAATAGATTGAATTAATTAATCAATGGTATTACGATAATTGCAATAATTATCTATTTTAATGATTTATTTGCACATAATTATACTAAATACGTAACATAGTATATGCACACAAAATAGTAAATATAAAAGCGCAATGTTTAAATATGTTAATATAGTTTGTTTTTGAAGTGCGTGCAATACTTACTATAACTCAAAAATTATTCTAACATTATAAATAAACTAGAGAGAAAAGAAAGTTGACACACACAAGTATGATGACACAGACATGTTTAAGAAATATTGTCAAAAATTAACGAAAGGAATACTTTCATGGCTATTGTTTCACAGATATAATTATTTATAGATATAAAGAAACATCAATTCTTTCATTTAAATATTTATAACTATATATATTAGCTGTATATTAGCGGGATAAAATATATAATTAGTTTAATCATTATTAAATTAGTAATATAAAAATTAGAAGAAAACAGCGTCTATTTTTCAAATATACGTATTTCTAAATTGTATAAAAATCATTTGTATTCAATTTATATCCTGTACAATATGTTTTAAAAGTAGAGTTGATTGTTGAAGATCATACTGGACAAGACAAATCGGATCTTCTATGACGATTAATCATCTCCTTGACTATAGTACTCGGCAAAGTAGCAAAGTACTTGTATTTAATGAAATAACGTTATATTATAGGAGTATTTTCTGAATTAGAGAATATTTTCTCTGATTAATCAAATTAAATTATCGATTATACATATATTATGAGGATTATGAGACTTAAATTACACATGCGACTACCACCGTCGAAAGTGAAATAAATGCTAACTGCGAACTTCATCTTTAATGTACGAATTATTAAAAATTTAATATTAGAAAATTTAATATTGGAATTTTATTAGTAATTTCAATTTCGGTGACAAATTTCTTATTACAATATATTATCTTACGTTTAAAAATTAAAGTATCCTTGTTTTTATGTCAAAAGCAACTGAAAATTGAACATTCTTTGTGTGTGAGGAATAAGAAACATAATTTAAAGTGTTTACTTAAATTCAAACCCTGCACTATATTACCTTTTAAAATCCCAATTCTGTGTTATCACCTTGATACTTTTTTGCTTAAATTAGATTGAAGTCAAATAGAAGAGATGAAAAACTAAAACTTCCTATTATACTTTGTATTTCGAAACAATAGGGTATAGAACGAGGTCAGTTGGTCAAGCATGTTACTGCGTGAGAGAGGTCGGACTACATTCATGGTCGTCGTTTTGCTTTTCGCTTTTCGAAAAATGGGCGTGTGTGTGATAAAGGCGCAGAAATAAATTTAACGGGAAAGAATAACGCGGCTTAACCGGATGGTGGTCGTAAAAAAATGAAGTTACGTGTACCGTTTTATTCCAGCGGCTAAGCGATAGTGCATTTGGCAGCGAGATGAGCTTAATAGCACTGACGAATCGAAAATCTACTTGATTTTACAGGATTATCGTAACTTGTAGACGCCAATTGCTCTTCGATGCTTATTCGATTAGCTGATACGATCGTTTTGCAAAATTAAAAAAAAGTAAAAGCAAATTAGGAAAAGGAATACATTGAACACATATAAACGATTGTTATTTTCATGAATATTATTTTGTCGCTTTCGAATAACCGAGAATAATTAATCGTGTCATGTTAAGAGAGATACTATGTCGATATTAATAAAATAAAAACTTTTAAAAATTTCCTCTGATAATAAGAAAAATGAATAAATAAAAATTTGAATATTTTTTTTTTATTCATTAGGATTGCTATGTATATATTTATCATAGAATAATTGTTTGTGTTTCAGCTATCTTAGACTCGCTTTGCAAGGAGTTTCTTTCGGTGAATGTATCGGCCATCTTATACCTTATGAACTACGAGCAATACGGACGTAGTACGGCCAGCGCTCAATATTTTCTTCAATTGGCCGGTTACTTAGGAATTCCTGTGATTGCGTGGAATGCCGATAATTCTGGTCTGGAGAGAGTAAGTTATTACAATTCAAATAAAAAAAAAAATAAATAAAAGAATTTACTAATGTGGGTGAATTTTCATTATGTCAAAGAATGTCTTAAATTATATTGAAATATACAAGATAAAATGCAGTTTGCAATAAAGCAAGTTCGGACTATTTACTTTCTCTCTCTCTTTCTCTCTGTACATAGAAATATTTTTTATAACATATAAAACTGAAGTTAAAATTAAACTGGACTATAGTTTGTGTAAATAAACATATAGTTTGTATACTTCGTCAACATCCACGAAACATAACGGAAATTCCGTTGGTTTGTAGCGGGCGTCGCAGAGCAGTCTGCAGCTGCAACTGGCACCGTCGTTGGAACATCAGACCGCGGCGATGCTGAGTATCCTGGAGAGGTACAAGTGGCATCAGTTTAGCGTAGTCACCTCGCAAATAGCTGGTCACGACGACTTCATACAGGCGGTCAGAGAGAGAATCTCCGACATGCAGGACACATTCAAGTTCACCATACTGAGCGCAATTCTGGTTACCGAACCGCACGATTTGCTCGAGCTAGTTAACAGTGAGTCTCGAGTGATGCTACTGTACTCGACCAGAGAAGAGGCTACTCATATTCTGACCGCTGCCAGAGATTACAAAATCACCGGCGAGAATTATGTGTGGGTCGTTACGCAAAGCGTTATCGAGAATCTACAAACTCCCAGTCAGTTTCCGGTCGGAATGTTGGGTGAGTAGCAAAGTTATCCGCATGTATTCGTGGTCACTGAATTTGTAAATTCTAATTTTAAAGTAATGAAGTCCGTGTGTATGAACTTACAGTTAAATTGTACGTAAACTACATGCATACAATCGGTATTATAACGTTCATGAAAATAAATAAAAAATTGTGATATATTTTAATGAAAATTTATACAATTTTTATATCATTTTAAACTAAAATCTGCTACGATACTTTTGTATCTGAAAAATTAAGCATTCTTCTATCAGAATTCTATTTTACAATTAATTATAAGAGAATATCAAAATATATTCATTAGATTTAAGAATTACGTATACCAAATATGCATTTATTATATTTTAATCTAAAATTACATAAAAATTGTGTAAATTTTATGAAAATATATATTATGTTTACAAAATGAATTAAAAATAACTACATTTTTATAATTCAAAGGAAAACATAATGTTGGTGTACATAATAACACAAATCGATTCTGATTTAATCATTACACAGAATTACACATAGAATTCAATTAAAATAATATCTAATCTCTCATATCTCTTTCGAACGTGCCAAGCGTTGCGGTAAAACGGAGTATTTACGTCGGTTACACATATGTTAACATTCAGAATACGCTTTTTATTGGTAAGAATGCATGGCTTTCGGGCGGTTAAACGGGAGAGTTATTCACACCGTGACTAGAATCGCGGAAACAGAAAATTGATTCCTTCCTTGAGAATTTTCTGAGAATATCCTCGAGAGAAAAATAAATTCGTCGAATTCCTTCTGGTGAACCATGTAGAATAACATAACTTAGATTGAATCTCTCGCGTCTGAATTTCTGCGAGCTAAAACTAGTGCGGTAAACTCGTTCTATATAGAACGCAAACACCTCGCGCTCTTAAACACGATTGCTACGAATCAAGTAAAGCAAACGTTGCTTGCTTATATTTAATATTCTCTGTCTTTTCTTTTCGCAAGTTCTTTCTGTTGCAAGAGTATATATATTCAACTATATTCAACCGTATAAATCCACATTTATCTTACGTTAGCTAATACAAAAGAAAGTAAGAATTTTATGTATAATATTTCATCAAAAAGATATTATACACCGCTTGCAGCTCCGCAAAACGATCTTGTGAAATTCAAGACTTTTCTGTATCTCGTTAAATTTTCAAAGAATATCTCGTCCTGAAATATACTCGTACAATGTAGAAAAATTTTATTGACTTGATTTTCACGGGTCAAACTTCTGACCGAAGAAACTCTTGCATTGAGTCACCAACGTTCCTCAGCCTTGTGATAGGTGCATCGATTTATCTTCATTTTTCTCTCTCTTTTTCTCGCATTCTGCTCACACTTTTGATACTTATGGAAATGTAGTTGGCACAGTGTATCGCTTGAAAATCTGGTTGAAATTTTACAAAGCGCATGTTCGCCATATTTCTATACAAAAAAAAGATATTTTGTTTGAACGTATACATAAAAAGAAACAGTTTCAGTAAATATTCTTAAATATTATGTAAGTAAAATAAAAATCAACAGCAGGAATTACGAAAAAATTTATCTTAAAATCGGATAAAATTTGTCCTATTATTTTTATTAGTTTATTTTATTAAGTTATTTAATATCTACAAAAATTATTTTTTAATCGTTTCTTAACTAAGTTACAAATAAATATTTAGTATTTGAAGTTTAAAAATATATTATAAACAGTTTTTAAAATGTAAACAGAATCATGAAATTATTCCGAAATAAATAACCAAAAAATTAAATCAAATTGATATCTAGTTACCTCAAAGATTCAATTTTTGTAAATCACAAGTTTATGTGAGATTAGGAATTATCAAAGAGAGTTTAAGCGATAAGCTTTATATTGAAAATTAAAATTTGTATCTTATGAATTACTTTCAAGCTCGTTCAGTTATTCATCCGTTTCTATTCGGTTATCACCGATAAAGAAAGGAAAAAAGAATGAAAAATCTTCTTTACACTGACATGATTGAATTGATCATCGTGTGATATAAATCTCGCTGGTAATAAAATTGCTTTAACAAATCCGCCGGATATTTCTCTGCTACTGCAGGTGTGCATTTTGATACGAGCAGTGAGAGCTTGGTAAGCGAAATCACCACTGCAATCAAGGTCTACGCTTACGGTGTCGAGGACTTTGTCAATGATCCGAAAAATGCAAATCGAAGTCTGAACACTCAACTGAGCTGCGAAGGCGTTGGTGAATCACGATGGAGCACAGGGGATCTATTTTTCAAGTAATTTTACATAATTTGCTAAAATGTGGATAGATTTGTTCACGCATCATTCACGTGGAACTTCTAAATAGCAAAACTAGAATTTTTTTTGAATGGTAATAGGAAATTTTTATAAACTTTGCAGTAAATTAACAGAATTTTGTAAAAATGTTTGAGAATTATATTCTTGGGATACATACAGTATTTTATTTATTTTATGTAATATTACGATATAAAAATATTTATTTTATTAAATAATTTAAATTTATTATGCAATACATTATTTAGTAAATTTATTATTATAATCTTATTGTATATGTCATATTTTAATATTTTATATCTTTCCATATAATTTTTACGAAAGCTTACAGTTCTTGTTTTGTACATTGCATCTTTTCTCTCTTCAGATATTTGAAGAATGTTTCGGTCGAGGGTGATCAAGGAAAGCCAAACGTAGAGTTCACTCAAGATGGTGTGTTAAAGGCGGCGGAGTTGAAAATTATGAACCTTCGACCTGGAGTTAGCAAACAGCTTGTCTGGGAAGAGGTAAGTTCAAATCATCTTACATGCACTTTACCAACCACGAAAGTTTATCTTCCGGAAGCTATTGCTAGTCGCGACGCGAGATACGATGCATCTCTGAACGTTCAAAAATAAATACATAAAGACGAACGAATAATTAAATCAAAGCACTGAATCAAGATTAAGAGCCACGATGTATCCTCACCAAACGAAACTGAATATTTGATTGCGATGCCATTAATGCAACGTTTGCATATATTTGCATAAAGTTTGTGTAACAGAAAGAATTTTTAGTATAATATAAAAAATAGAAACACACTAATTTTCTTATATATATATATATATATATATAGACACATTTTTGTTAAAAGCAAACACATATTTTATATGTTTTTAGTATACAATCAATGAAAAAAGTTGTCCAGTGAAATCGGAGTTAAATAAAACAAAATGAAAAATAAACTCACAGGTGCAACATTTCGTTAAATCAAAATTGTTGAAAAAAAAGAATGAAAATACGCAATAGGCAGAAAGTTTTTTTTTTGTCACGAGCTGGCTTCAAACTGAAGAAGCGTTATCGAGTAAAAATGTAGAATTTATCGCCCTTGCTGTCGAAAAGGCTCAAAGGGGTCGAGCTATATATAACTTCGTGATCGTCTCTTTCGTTACATTGGATTTACGGAGCTGAAGCCGCGGAATTGCGGTAAACTTTAGCTTCCTTTTGCATCCGGCGCCGACGACGTTCCTTTTGCAATCTGCTCATCTGCTGCGGAGAACCGCAAAGTATCACGCTATTAATCGGCGGAATAACTTCACATCATAATCCGTCTTTTATCGTTTTCACTGTGCAGCATCAGATTATTTGCGGCAATAAATTAGTACGACAGTGAAGGCGCTTTCGTTAAGTCTCATTAGACCTACCATAGCAAACGAAGGCATGCTGTGCTTAGTTGATGCTTTCTAGAAATTGTCAGACACGGATGGCTCATAATCGCGTTATGAAATGCTTTGCAAGATATTTCAGGACGCACCGACGTTTTCTTCACCAACAAAAACGGTAGTACAATTGTCACGTACGCAGCAGTGGAGAAACTACTGCGTGATGCTTTGTGGTAGATAAAACTAATACAGCATCTCTTAACGTGTACAATAGAAATTTCCGATGAGGAAGATACTGTTAGGAAAATTTTCTTTTTCCTAAAGTTTATGATGAGTTCTGCATAAAATACTAGATATACTAGAAAATTGATGATTTTCAAACGCGGCTGTAAATGTAATTGCATATTAAATATACTTATACTATCTTATTATTATATTTTTAATTGATGCTATTGCTACAGTTTCATTAGTATTATAATATTTTCGAAAATATTTTATTATTAATTAAATTGTTATCGTTATAATTAAATTACCTAATTAATTTATAAAAGTATCCTATTTTGTTAAATTATATAAAATAAACGTAACCAAATATTCTACAATTACGTTTTCGCACAATAATCTTTATTCTGTATATTTTTTCAAAATTATTATCATATTGTAACGTACCTGTCATTGAGTATCTATTGAGATTTTTACTACGTTTGCAAGTTTTACAGCGGTATTGAGTTTCACAAGTTTGATGGAAATTTCGTTAGAAATGCCAGCGAAGTTTAACTCCACCTTTCGACATTCCTTTCGTGACACGAATCCATCTTTGTTCAGTCAACCATTTCATCCAGGAAATTCTTTCGCCACCTCATTAAAGTTTGAAACGCTTGCGTTGTGAAAATCACGACGTCTCAACACAGGCAGGAATTTATCATCCATCCGCTTCGGTAAATTCGCCATTTATGGGGAATGAGCTTGCCATCAAGATAGATTTTTTTTACTGAATAGCTGATAAAGTTTTTATACTTTGTGCTGGTTATTCATAATATATTATGATCCGTACCACCGTATTATGCATCGCTCCACTTTGATAAAATATTATTCTAATATTTCCACGTTCAGTATTAACTCTAGAAAGTCTCGAATTTTTTTTCATATAATACTATTTTTATAATCTTGAAATCCATAACAACATTGAGAAAATATTCTAAATGTGTTTATTATTCTTTATACGTAAATATTATTTACAATATTTGTAAAATTAATTTAATCGCGTGTTACTTCTTTCTATTATTATCTCTTTTTCATAAAAAAAAAAATTATATAAGATTACAACACGGTGATAATTCGCAAATCTTTTGGCATCTCATAAGATAATTATTTTTTAAATTGCGCTTTTCTAGAATTTGACTTTATGCGATAAGATGAAAACAACTACAATATTTAAGTTAAGATGTATATTATATTTATCGAAAATGATTTTGACATTTCATGTTTCGTTCATTAATCAATGCAAAAATGATAAGTAAAGATTAACGATGCAAGTTTGAATGCACATAGACCTCTATGTGTTAGCATTTTTGATAAATTTTGAAAAGCTTTTATAATAAATATAGTTATGCGTAATTAATTTCTCGTATAACTTAATAATAGCCATTTTACAGAAAATCTATAAAGTATGTAATATATATGAGAGTTAGAAATACTATAGAATAAGTTCAAGAGATTTTTTTATCTTTTTAGAATCTAATCTGAATGCATAATAAATTTATTATAAACTTAGTTTCTTTACAAGAATTTTCTTATAAAAGTAAGTAAAAAAGTCCAGAAATTATAATTTTAGTTCGATTTAGAATATTTTTATAAAAATGTTTTAATCTTTAAAAAATAGAACACGTTATTATTATACTAAAAGTAAATAACTTATTTAAAATGGTGTACGTCTGAAATATATTTAAGCATTATTTAAATGTAAAGGAGATTGTATTACTTCTGTTCAAGTCTTATATTCGTTGTGACATTTATCTGCGCTTATCTTGGTAAAGCTTTAATTAAAATCCTATTAATCCAGCACCTAGCTCGTCACGTAATGAAAGCTGCGCTAAAATTTCATTTGCTGCCCTGCAACCAACGCGGCAGAACACGAAACTTTGTTACGCCAACACGCGCGACCGCTTCGATTCTAGCGATCCGCGTGGGCTAGTCACGATTTTAATTATTTCCTTTAAAGACGATCCATCTCGACATCTTATTCCTCTAAAGACTAGAACTCATCGCGTGATACCTATTTCAACCACGCCCGTCGACATCTCGTTTCTAATTATATCTTGCGTTTGTATCATGTCAGCGTGAATCACCTCCGACAGATTTCAGAAATTCACAGTATCAAGATCCCATGTTTCTGTTTATCTCATTTTGACATTGACATCCTTCCGTTTCACTGTGCTAGAAATAATTAATTGGAGATATCGAAAGGCGAACTTGATATTTCCTGGACAAAGCTAAGCTGACAAGTTGATAAGGGAGAACAGGATTATACTATAATATACAGATATAGAAGGAAAACACATTTTATAATTAAAATATAAAATATTTATATTTTTTCATTTGATTAGTTTAGTGAGAAATAGCCATTACAAGCAACTGAATAATACATGCTTTTTGCAGAAAATATTGGGTCTGGGATGTTAATAATACTCTTATGCCATATAATATACATCAGCATGGCGTAAATGCTATTGAATGCAAGCTGCCTGGTATCATAAATTCAATAGAATTTAAAAAGCATTGAACTGTTTCGCATTTTTATAATGATTGTACAATCAAGTTTACAATTCCAAAAAATTGTAATATTTTAAGGACATTGTTAATTTTTTAGAAATATTATTATATAAAATTCCTCTATGTAACTATTAATATAACACAATATATTAGATTTATGATGAACAAATTAATCTTTAAGGATGCATATTTGTTTAAACTTAATCGTATATATATATCTTGTCAATATATATATCGATATTTCATATATATTTTATATAGGTATTGTGTATATTTTAGTATAATATAATTTCTCAATCTTTTTGTAAAATTTAAATTTTAAAAAATATATATAGGTGCTAATTATTATATATTGCATGAAATACATTTCGATCAATGTGTTTAATGCATACGAGTATATAAAAATTATATCTTTATGTACTATTTTTTCTTTTTGTTCATAAGAGCATTTTTATATGAAAAAATTAAATCTTGTATTAATTTGCGGTATTTCTTCATGGATATCTTTTTACAAGGAACAATAAATAGATTCGTCTGATTTATACATATAGTTGTTCGTGCTGCAATTTGAAGGAAATCAGTTCTTCCTGATATCAATCCTCATATATAAAGGACACCAGGTGTTCATGACAAAATTTCAACGGCACCAGTGATACATCATTTTCTCGCGTGCGCATGTTTCCCCGCACATTTCGCTACTAAATTGCCGGCCTTTTGCAAAATAAGCGGATTATACTGGATCAAAGTCTGCCCGATGCGAACGGTATCGCGCGTGAAACGCGTCGATCGGCTAATCACGTTACGTACATCCACTAAATTCCAATTCTCGGAGCAAGAATCGCACCAAACTCGCCGGAACGCAGTTTACTCCAGATCCTGCTGTATTCGTGCAATCGTGCAAAATTAGGTCGTCACTTAGGAAGCTGCATGGAACTAGAATTAATTAGTATGCATACATCGGAGCGGGATAACGCGCGATGTGACTCCGACAATCAACTGTACATAGATAAACGTACATTTGACGAATACTCGGCCATTTCAAACATACCTTTGTATGCATGCATATGTCTTTGATGTTGTCTGCTTCTCTGCCGCTTTTTTTCTTTTTCTATCTCTGAGTCCTCGTTTTCACAGAATGAAATAAATCGTATTAAGCAGTACGCTAAAAACATTGCTCCAAATATAATATTTTATTATGTTTAGTCTATTAACTTTTTATTTTTTCTTTGATTGTTAATCAAATTATTGCTAATTGCAACTGTATATTATGATAATTTGTGTATATCATAAATACACGCGATGATCATTGCACATTGAGCATAAGCAAAAAGAACATAGCATAAATGTTTTGTGATCTTTCTTGTTATTACACA